AGTTTTAATACGAAACTGAAAAGGCTTCTTACAAAATCTCTGATTCTTTCTAACAGTTTATTTGATTCTGCCCATTCAACGAAAAACAGCACTTTACAGTAGAATACATGCTGAACGAATCTATGTTACCTTCTCGAACTTATCAAGAGGCTCTCCGCATTGTTTTTATTTGTCGATAATGTTCTTATTTTCGGGGTCGCTGTGAAGTAGACTGTGGAACCCCAAAGAGACATGGTCTTTTTTGGAATTTTTGGTACGACCATGATTTGCTATTACTGGACGTAAAGCATTTGTCGAATAACTAAGTCAATGGCAGATACAAGCGTCTTCAATGCGCTTTTACAGAGGTAGCTGATTACACATAGCTAATAAACGCAAGATCTTAACAAGTATTTACTAACCACAGTTTGAGTGCATATTGGGTTTTCTTATAAGTGGCTCTATTTTCGATTGTCTGTTCTACCCATTTCCCGTCTCACCTCACCCGTTAAATACAGTATACCACTTATCTGATCATTGTATTATTCACTCTCGCCAACAAAACGTATACGCGTTAGCTTGTATACAAGAAGATTAGATTAGTCCATCTATGCGGACATATTGGAATTTAATGGGGGCAGATGACTTGCTATGGGGGGGTATGGATGAAATAGTACCAGTCCCATGTATCAACTTAGCTGCCAAAGATTGACTCGATAGTTAGGGAGGCTTTTTTTTTTGCCTTATATAGGCTGTGTGTTTGTTGTGGGGCTCAGTCCTACTTTTTACAATAGACATATGACGGTTTAAGGGAACAGATGGTTGTCTGTGGCCGTGTCAAGAAATTGCCATTGTTTTTTAAACTGTTCAGATCCTCGCTCAATCACCTTTGATCCTTTGGTTATAGCGATACTGGTCGACAGTGTTCGGTAAAAAAAGCCGAAGCTTCTAGGACGAGGGATTCTTTGTTGGCGTGCTTCAAATGCGAGGGAATGCGAAAGTATTGCGACGCCTATTACGCAACCAAATCTCGGACCGCAGAGAAAAACCTAGATGAAGCGAAATAAAACTAACTGCCCGACCGATCATTACCGAGTAAAGAGTCCTTAACGAAGCGATGTAAATTGTAAGCGTGTATGTCAGAAGTAGGTAAGCACGCAATTGAAGGATGTCAAAGAAGGGAAGACTCCTGACAGAATCACTCACCCAGAGAAACCCAACAAATCCAACGTAGCGTCGTCGCCTTCTGTACCTGCATGGCTAAAATGAAAAAGTATCGCGCCCTGTCGACAAAAAGCTTGTTGTACCGTTACGATGGAAGAGAAACGCTCTAGCTCTCAAGAAATTGGCAGGACTAAACTCTGAAGGTGTCTGTTCCCAGCGAAGCGATATAGTCCGGTAACTTGAAATGGGATATGCTAGTTAGTATAGATCAGATACGCTGGCGGATTTTTCTCGTCAGTACGGATCTAACAGCTCTTAGAATTGTATGTATGTTGTCATGAAAATGTAGAAAGAAATATTGGAAACATACTGGTTTTCATACTAACGGTACAACAATGATTCGAGGGCTGAATATGTGCCACAGCCGTAAGACTGACTTAAATAGAAAACCATTTATTTAACCAATGAGTAATTGGATAAGAAAGAAAATAATTACATTGAAATATGCTAAAGTGCATCTCGACTTAGACCTATACCTACTGGAAAAGACGCAGCTCTAGACCCGCTGTGAGGGATTTACGGGTTCCCTGACTAACCTAACCTAACCTAACCTAGATCAGTTGCTGGTTTTCTCCGCCTTCCCGGCATGCGCTATATATATACATATATTTCGATTTCTGCCTATTGCAATGTACAGCTGTGCAGCACTCCTTTATGCTTCTTCATCCTTATACGGCCAAGGAAAGCCTGGCTTCTTAGTTTGTTAGATATACACATTAAACAGTTTGCCACGTAGACCTACATAAAATTGGGCCCTGTTTGAGCAATCTGTTTCACAAGCCCAGCCTGTTTGCTATTGTCTTAAGATTCTCATATCGCTTTTTTAATTCCGAAAATTATGTTCCTAGTGAATTTGTTTCGGATTTAATGCTTTTATCTTCGCTCCAATCTTGCATGACTTCGAGCCGCCGTTCTGGGTTCGTAGTACCATTGGTCAAGTCGTGTAGAGCGAACGGAACTTTGAAAACACTGAGGTACTTCAGCTGCCGTCTCGTGTGAGAGAAACAATCAAGCCGAAATTCCACATGCCAAAGAAAAATTGTGGCACTTTTTTTCAGGAAATGCTCATACTAACGTACATGCTTCTACCGAGCGGATGTTTCACATGTATGTTTCACATTTGTATGTCCGCCATCAGCTGACGCTACCTGCTAGCTATGGCACAGGCTCAATGTATGTGAAAGAAATGTTCAACGATGTCTCATCCCAATATTGGCGTTTCCGAAGAACTCTTTTGGACCAGACCCAAACCAGAACAATTGCCGTGAGGCTTGGGTGTGTCTCAGATGTGTATATTTGGAGTGAGCAAAGCTATTGGTAGCCTCATCTCCCCATACATCACATTGAAAGATCGATGAACTGTCTCGGGTAAGCCTGTTGTTCGATCGAGCGTCCAACCTACTGTTCCTTTATTACGACTTTTGCAGCTAGTATAATCAATGGGGGAATAGAGGAATTGTGGCTTGAATGTACTGCTTGCTCAAAAAAAGTCAATTTGATCTAGTGGCGAAGTGCTCAATCGCTGCTGGTCCCTCCCTCGAGAACGAAAATAAGTGGCGACCGCTAGCGCTATTTAGTATATGCCACCACACTATTTAAATAAATAAACACACAGATACATTTGCATCAAACTCTCTACGTTTTTCGACAGTTCTTTTTCACCCCAATATGAAAGGAAGAGTGCCTCTTTGTGCATTCCCGGTCTTATGCTGCTCCTACTGTAATTTTTCCATCTGGCTGTTGTCTGAAGACAAGCATTTATGCTTTCGTTTCTTTTTACTTTGTCTTTCTATCTGTGTCTGAGTGGCATACAGTCCACTCTCTTCACGGAAGTTGGGCATAACGGACTACAAAGAGTTTAGTGACATCGACCTGTTTGTTGTTCGACCCGGGTCTATTCCAAACATGTTATTGGCATAACTGTTCTTGTAGTAAGTCCCTGCCGAAGTAAATGTGATCTTGTTGTTACTGCTAGTACTCAAAGTCGCTGTTGTCGTTACTATCATCATTAGTTTGTCGTGACAAAGTCGAGGTGAGCGAGGGAACGTAGAAATGACCGGCGCCAGCGTAGATAGCTACACCCACAGGGCAACGCTACAGCTAAGGGCGGCATACTGCCATAAAAAATGACCAGCTAACGTTGGAATCGGAGTACTGTCAGGAGAGGCCAGCATGGATGGGGCCAAGTCGCAACAAATTCGGACCCTCCAGCGCTCTTCCTCTGTTTTTTAATTTAAAGAGATCGCGTGTGCAAGAGAGTGAGAGCGGTGATTTATGGTGGGCCGGACAGCAGGCCTGAAAATAGGCGAATAGGAAGAAGGACTGTCATTCAATAGGGGGAAACAAAATAGTACCAAGGGACTTGAGGCACATTATGGCTGCTGGAAGCAACGGCTAACAGTACACGGGTCACTTGTGAAAGATATTATGGGACATGGCTCGGATATATTATATTATAGGTATTGTTGTGGAATGTACGGTTTTGGGTCAAAATGAGCGTCTCTTGCGACCTAAAATAAAAAGACGTTAAGACAAATGAACTGAAAAGCGGTCTCTCATGGAATCACCTAAAAAGATTTAAAAAAAAAAGCAACAGAACAGAGAAAAATTGAGAGAGAGAGAGAAATGCGCTTTTCTGAAATGCGCCGGTACTATCCTCCATTGACGCTGACCACTTTTTTTTTGACGTGTGTCGTTCCGATGAGGAAAATCTAACACCCCTTAGTAAAATTTGTAGCACTCACAAATGGATGAGATGGACATGGCGAATCGTTAGCTCGTCCCGCTCTTCCTCCACGCAACAGCCGAGTCGTAAAGATGTGGCAATTGATTGTGACAGGGTAAAACGCATATGACTGGTGATACAAACATCCGAAACTGCAAACAGAAATGACAAAGCAATACTTCCGTCCGCACGTAGATACAAAAAACAACTAATAATTTTGCACCAACATTTGACCTTCATGCAGACTATAATGCATTCGCTATCTAATTCCCTCAGTTTATCACTTGCTTTAAACCCTTTTACTATGATCAACACTTTGGCAGAAGGCAGCTGGTATCACGTGGGCGGAAGCTTGCCAACCGACCTAAGCCATGTAGCTGCCAAGATCGTGTTGGTGTAGTGGTAGCGTCCTTACTAGAATTAAGGACACGTGAAGTGGTCCCTGTTCAGAATCGAACTTCGACATACTCTTTTCACGGGAAATCACCAGGTTCTAGCAAAATCTGAGTCATTTATGAATTGCTATTGGCGACTGCTCTCCCCGGCAGTCACAGGATGACTGGATGATTGTGACTGTTGATTCGCCCAGACCATACTATGGTCAAAACAGTTTGCAGTAAAATATTTTGTTACTTTTTATGAATGACGGAACTAGTATTATCGAAACTAGAACAAACCATAGTTGTGGTCAGTACATAGCTGACATAAGCGGTACACGGGTACATTTAATATTGAGTGCCAGGAAGACAGTAAAGCGTCATAAAAAAAATTATGTTTTTTTTTTTTTTTTATATATTCAATGCAGTCTACCAATGCACACCATTTATATCGATTATGTATGCCTATAGACCAAGTGACATTTGTCTACGTGTAAATATTGTACTTTATTATGTACAAGATACTATAGTACTGACTGCCAGACGGCTGCCTTATGATCAAGATCGTCAGTAACATTTGAAGCCGTTTCGAATAGTGTACTTCTATTACTACCATGTAAATCCGTAGCGAAGGTGACAATTAACATATTTTATTTATCAGTTGACCTAATGACTGTTTATTGCTTACCTTTCAGCACTTGGTGCTATCGATTCAAATGCCGGCGGCAGCTGCGCGAACTGCGGCGCATCAGGCGCGAAAACACGCCAGTGGGCTCGCGTCATCAGGCCTATGCTCGTGCTTCGGAAGGAACACAAAGGAGCCACCTGAAATCACTTACCAGGTTAGTGAAAACATTCGCAGGACAATATTCATCCACAGTATTGTCTTAAATCTAAGCCGCTTATTTTATCATACCTTCTACGTCGGCAATTACGTTTCCTTGAATCTTCCAGGTCTCATATAATCTGCTAAGCTACCTCCTCAAGAGTGTTTGTTTTTATGGCCCTGAATCGATCATGCTTGACGCAATTATCCAGTGCGTTTTCGGAGTGGCACTCGAAACAGATAGTAGAGGAGTGTATCTTTGTTTTTATTAGCAATGTACTTACTTTCGGCACATAGCCGTCATTATGCGTGCCATTATGTAACCAGCAAAAAAGGAACCAGCATTGTGGGAATCCAAACAAGAGATTCACATAAACAAGAAGTAGTGAGTTGTCAGTGTTACAAACATATCGCAGGAAAGTGGCGTTTTTCGCTCTAAATTCAGCTTTTTTTTGGTATCTTCGGTGTCTAAACTTCGATATTCTATTAAGGCAATCGAGTTAGTTGTTTCACTATAATTATAGTGAATATGCTACAACTTACTTGATCACTTACGAAGATTAAGACATATACAGGTTTGCTCCACATCTGGTGCATTCGTTCCTTTCACAAAACGGAACGTCATTAGAGCTAATGCTGAACATTTTCGAGACTCGATCGATTGAGCTAGCTAGCTCCTTTTCTATGGTAAAAAGCCGCCTCTTCGTTGATCCACCGCCCCAACGCCCCCAGTACCGCAATTGTCGAACTGTTGTGGAGAGTAGGAACTTCGACGGGGAAGAAAAACAAGCGATACTCCCTTGTCGGTTCGGCAACTTCGTTAGTTCTCTCTGAACGTTTAATTCTACACGTGGTCAGCACCGAGCGGCTTCCTGTCGCTCTCTCTGTCTAAATGCGCTGAAATCTGGGTAAGTCACGGCCTCGAATAATCAATTACCACCGTAATCGTGTAAATTTTTACTATCTCTTGGGCCGTAGCGGTAACGCGTCCAGCTAGCAGGATACTCCGTACTAGCGCGAGCATATCACATCATCCCGTCTGCATCTGTGATCGAGAGTCTCGGTTGAAGCTCCTGGCCGTCCGCGCGCTACGTATTCACTGTCAGCACGTTAAATCTCCGAAGCATAATGAGCAGTAGATGGACAGTGAAAGGAGCGGTGATTCTCCCCTGAATAAAACGGTAACGGTGGCCCTTTCTCGATAGCAAATGATGCGTCCGCCGACGAACGTCGGCCCCTAGTGACTAGTACAAGCGGAGGAAACCCTTAAAGAGGGCCCTGCTTCATCGGATAATGTACATACAGATATAAGCAGTATAAATCGCCGCAAATGGGGCATCCGTCTCATAGGCTACGCCCTTTGATTCTTAATAAGGAAGAATAGGATAGTGGAGTTTGTATTGAGCGCGTGTCGTGCTGAATATTGCCTAAAAACGTGCATCGCATTAAAAACACATTTACATAAACCTATTTAGCAATGAGTTAATTACAGCATAACTAAGTGTAGAAAAAAAAAGCTAAAGAACTAAGATCTGTCGGACACGATAAACTAGCGGAGTATACGTTTAAACATACTTATTATATTAAGCGTGAAAAATGCTCATTGTATTATGGTTTCCAAATGCGGCCGGTTTTTTCGTTATACGCCAAGGCTTCATTTACTTTGTTAAAGGTTATGGCAAAAAACGGACTCATATGTAGAAAATCGTATGCATCTAAAATTTACTTTTAGAGATAAAGAGACAAATAACCGAGAACAGACCAATTTTTCGTAGTGGTTACTCTCCCTACAAAGCACCCCAACGTTAACATGCATCGCCGCTAAAAATGATGCGTGTGGTACAGATTGTCCCAGAACAACTTTAAAAGAAAAAAGCTATTTTTGATCCTCGGCCTGAAGTGCCTTACGGTGTCTTCTCTGGAGCCTATTTAGAGCCTACTTTAAAAATCATATTGTGAACATACTTGACCTTATGGCCACATGATCTTCTAAATCTGTCCTTCCAACTTTGCCTCATTCTTTTGACACTGTAGAAACATTTCCGTAAAAATCCATCCTTTGTGCGGGTGTCCAGCTTTGAACGAGTGACTCACACAAGAGTTGAGCATCGCTACCGCTCCCCACAATGGCGCAGTAGGTAATGCATTAAATAAATAAAAAAATAAAAAGAAATTAAAGACAATTGGTGGCTTACGTTTATAATTTTGGTATGGACAGAGTTTAAGTCCTTGATGGGAACCAGCTGCGTGAAATAGTGACTAATGGGCTGAGTGCCGAAAGTAAAGTTCAAAAACGAGTTCTGTGCTTCGCTGTTGCATTATAGCTCATTACTCTCTGATGCGAACTTTACCACACCACAAGAGCTCAGAATGATATTGATTTCTTTAGCGTGTTTTTTTTTCTAAGTGTGAGGTTTTTACTTCAAGCATTTACGTACTAAAAAAAGCAAAATATATCGATCATTTTTTGAGAGTGACTTATCTTAAATTAAACTATGTATTTTCTAATTCTTACAAGATTTCTACAGTTTTTTCATTGAACATCAGAGATGCCTGCTTAGTGATACTTTATTGAAATAGAGATGTCACCGGTTGTGTATGATGCTGAGTCGTTTTTGAGATCCTTCCATAAGCCCTAAACTATATACATCTGCAGGTGGCTGTAGGAAAGTCCTGGCGGACAAGACCCACAGGATTAGAATTGCAATATAGTTGGGGCGGAAAAAATTCTTGCAGGGTGTATATTACCATATTTAAATAATTTTATCCGTTATGAAGCTAAATAGACCCTGGTGTTTAGGCAACCTCATAATAAAATAGAGTACATTCAATCCTTGTTTGCTGGACGCGGTTCAAGTAGCGATTTTGAGAAAGACCAACGGAAAAAGCACAGACTACATAAATATCATAAAACAACCAATTTATGTCTGAAGTCATTGTTTTTCGCGATTATGGCCTTAGGAAACATTAATATATACGTTTTGCTGTTTGCTGGAGCTTGTCTTACTATTTGTATTGCGAAAACTGAATAGTAGGTAAGGCACGCTCGATCATAAATACCGCAATTTTATGCAGCGGGCAAGCCATATTAACTCTGGAAGATGTCAGATTTCCGGCATGGAAGGGAGAAAGTCTGTCTTTAGCTGTTGTTTATGATGAATATGATAATCTAATTAGTTACTTAAGTTTTCTCCAATCATCAGAAACGTAGTGTAGACCATGCATAACGTAATTAACGTAACGCATTAACAGTAACTGCTACTTTACTGTATTCAGATCGACAATCAAAAATAGGGTGAACTTATCTTCATTCAAGCGCATCGATTCATATCTATAGGTTCTAACAATTACACAGGTTACACCCCAGGCTATATTAATGGTTGTCACATTTCAAAGTCTGCATTCATGGGCCGATCCTCACGACTCAATGCCCCTGAGACATAAAATGTTTGTGTGAATGCTAATTAAACATATCAACAACATCTGCCATTTTATGCGTCAAAATATTTTTTCGTGTCATAAGACCAAAAAGTCACAGCGTGTGACTTATAAAAGTATAAACCATACACTATTTAATTGTTATGTATTCTGCTGTTATGTCGTTTTTCATTTTAAGCCAGCGCTATAAACGCTATATTAAGAATGATTTCCATTGCTAGCTCACTCGCCGACCGCCCGTTACCAGGAAGTCCTGAACCTTGCGAGTCTGAAGCTGTTGAATTGATTATCGGGCCGTATACTTTTTAGCCATATATGTTCCCATGGGACACCTAAGCAGTTAAAGTGGGCTTGAAAACCATATGATAGATATGCTTGACATGAAGGAATTGCTAGCCACATACAGCAAAGAGGCACATTGGATTTAGAAAGATGCAGTTTTCTTTTTGGGCAACTATCAATAAACTCATGTTTGGCGTACATCTTCATTCAACATACGCCCCATATTAGTCTATTTACCAATGCCACAACGAAAGAACATTACACCTCTTGACTGAAACCAGTCAGCGATGGACGATAGGTAACTACTATCTCTTCTTCTTTTTCTTCTACCCTCTACTAGGTTCAATAGTACGCGTTTGACACACGTAAGCTTGTTAGTGGCTGCATCGTCACGAATGAACGAACGTACCTTTTCCGACCACGGAATCTTCGTTACCGCGATACTACGCTTCACATGTGATCTTCGAGCAGCTGCTCTGTTGTTGTTTATCCTGCTTGATTTGTTGTATATACTGATATGAGACCAGCCTAAAATCCCCATCTGGCTTGTGTTAGGCAGCCCCAGATAGCTTCCTAGATAAGCTAATGCTTGCTTGTTTTCTTCGGGTAATCTTGTTATAAGACTGGCCTACTCATTCTACTGTGCAACAGACAACATGCATGGTTTAAGCCACTCTATTCTATGGGTCGTCACTTAGCACTTTCGCTCATCGAACGAATTGTCTCTCATTTAAAGGTTTGGGTCCCAACTAACCCGGCCTATATCCCCAAAACCTGTCTGGACTAACTTAGCTTACGCTAACACTACCCTGTAGCAATAAACACAGTCCGGCCAACTCATGCATATTGTACAGCCATAGCTGGGCATCCATAGGCCAAAGGAGCCCAAGACACGTAGTCGCGGAAAATTTTGTAATTTAAGTATGCCTTTAAGGAGAAGGGTTAGAGAAGCAAGTTTTCTAAAAGACGACAGTAACCTCTTGCTTGTCATGCATCGATAAACCCGAGATCAGTCCGATCCTTTAGTTTGTTGATCTTATGCTTCGCCGGCCAGTCGCTTCCATTCGTTTTAGCGCACTTCAGGGAAAACACTATGTTATTTTGAATTAGGAAAATCGATAGACCCATATGGGTGCCTACGAGCTAACGAAAAAAATCGCTAAAATATGGTGTATTCAACACGTTGCCGAATATTTATTACAATAGTGTTATGCGCTTCTCGTGCTCAGGTCTACCAAATTACAACCCTTGAATAACATGACCGATCAACACTGACATCATGGAATTCTTTTGATT